TTATCTCAGGAACCACCTAGCCAAATTCGATGAATTTTTTTTTATTTTGATTCTACAGAATAGTCGAATGAAAATAAAAAAAATTGTTGAATTAGGTTAGGCGACCATCTAGATATCTTTACTCAAATTCTTGAAAAATTTTAAATTCTATAGAATATGATACATCAAGAATGCTATCTAAATTTAGAGTATGATCTGTGCCTATCAAAAAAGTAACTACAGATCTATCAAAAATAAAATTTTTGCATTAAGGACAGTTAGAGTTATTGGTTTAGTAGTATCGCATGATCAAGAACTGTCTCTACTGTCCCTAAGAACTATCTATAGATTTTGCGCCTAATCGCTATCTAACCAATCACAACTCAATCACATGATTTTGCACTGTCCCTAAGCACTGTCCATAGACTTTTCACCCCAGGTTCGCCAGCATAGCGGGCTTTAATTCTGATTGATCAATTACTAAATGTATTGTCATATATTACACAGCATATACCATCTGACTTTAAACAAATTGGTAGCCAGGAAAATGAATTGTCAAAGAATGTGGCATACAAATTCTGAAACTATACTTCAGGCTATATAACATATCAAATTAATCTGAGGAATAGTTAATTAATCCAGAAGTTAGCGACAGTGTATACTTTTTGTCTTATAAGTTAAAGTAAGTTAGCAATCGGCAAGGTAAATTATATTTTGACTAATAAGTGTTAAGCTTTTTTAAAATAAACTTGAAAATAGTGATTCAAACAACAATATTTACAGTTAGTTTTTTTAATATTTTTTACTTAATATAGGTTATTCAACAAAGTTTCTAAAAGTACAATATATTTGATATAGAGTATACATAGAATATGTACGATTACTCATTATGTTCTATAGTTAGTTTTAGGGTTTTATACTATTTATACTCTCTATGTATATGTATTACCTTTATTAATAGTTGATGATTTTTTTTGATTTACTTATAATTATTCATTCCGTATCTCATTATTAAACTATGTATTAGTTAGAAAGCGATTTTGTTATTAAAGATTATCTTTATATGTATTTAAGTTTAAAAGTAGAGTATACGTAAATCATTTTTTATATGATCTGCATAGTATATTAGATTTTTACATAGTAAATAAAAAATACTTCTGATAAATCTTTTTAATATCTTAGTTAATTTTTATCAAATTTAAATGGTATGTAGTTTAAACTAGTTTGTTTATACTAGTAAAGTTTTGGAATATACATTGCTTTAAAAAAAATAAACTTTATATATGATCAAAGTTTCTGGAATTACACAAGAAATTGCTAATTCTGATTGGTCAAATCATATAATGTTTACATATAAATCATATGATATCATATAAAATTAGTTATACAAATTGATTTACAATCTATTTTATATAAAATTAAAAATTTGTACACCCTACCCTTAAAGACTTTTTTTTATTAAGTTTAACCAGATACATATTTAACAATAAATATAAAAATCAATAGGTTAAAATTGTGATTGTAAATTCAAATTTATAATTTAAATGTATCTTTTTGTCTAATAATTTCTAAAATTTTTTTACTTCAAACTTGTTTTCTATTAGCTAATCAGAATTTTGTTACATCACAGATAATCTACAAAAATTGGCTAATTAGAATGAAAGCCTGCTATACTAGATACACCAACAAAATTTTTATGCTCATGTGATATCTGACAAAATTCTTTAGTTCATTTTGGTTAGAGTTGGAGTCTATATTAAGGTGGGCTTAATAGTAAAATCGTTCAAGAAAAACTTTTTGTTAAGGCCCAAAAGGCGATTTTCTATGCAGATTTTTAGTTATAAGTGATTTTTGACAAAATAAAGATTTGTTTTAAATTTTTTGATCATGTAACATTACACTAAATCGAGATTCATTTATTAATCATCATGTAAGTATAAAATTACATAATGTAGCAATTTTGTTGCTACACCTGAAGAAGTTTTTCTATTTTAACAGTAGAATCTATGCATTTTCAGTACTTAAGTTCTATATATTTTAATATCTAAAGTAGATTATAATAGATAGCAAAAAGCTAAACATTTGACCATAACACCTTTAAGCTAAACAAAAATATTGGTTATTAATTATTTTATTTTTTTGGTTATCATATTTATATGAATTAAGTTTTTTTTGAAAATGTGACTTTTACACTATATATGTACAAAAGTTTTAGAACTCTTATTTCTTTATTTATTATTATTTTTTTTAAAGTCATTGTTAATTTCTAATTTAGATTTCAGTTTTTTTAAAAATTATAAATTATGAATATTAATATTATTGAAACTTCGAGTGAATAAAGGCTCAAGATAAGAAGAGAAGCTGCTACATGTCAAAATGCTAATAGTATACCAATTCAAAAAGAAAATAAAAAAAGACAATTAGAAGAATCACAGAAACGAGTACAAAAAGCTACACATATATCGACAACTAGCCAACATTAGGAAAATTAACAGAAATCATTAAATTTGGTTGCTACTTACCAATTTAGAAAATTCTTAAATATTGGTCTTTCTACTCTTGCCTTAGTTGCTAGAAATAGTTTTGTTCTGAGGGCCTGAATTTATCCTTTTGATTTAAGTAGATTAAAATACTATACTTTAGGAAAAATAGATCATTCCTGTATTTATTGTGATGCTTTGAAATAGATTGATAAAAGATGTGCAGATTTATCTAAATAAACGCCTGTTTTTAGTACCTGCTATGTACAAGAAAAGGTTTAGCTTTCACTACTTCAAGAGCCACTATTGTTATTGAAAGGATATCTTATAAATAATGATACATAATTATGAGAATTTAGACAGAATATAAGGACTTATAACTTTGCCTTAGCATTTATATCTATAGACACAAAAATAGATAAAAATATTACTGAAATACAAGGCCCCTATATATATCTTATATATAGTAAAATGTATCATCGAATTGGATTCTTTATTTCTTAGCCAATTATAGCATCACCTTTTTTTGCACAGATGTATTTTTTTGATACAAATAATAAAATACAAAATAGACAAATTTATGCCTTCTTTGAATACAACTGTTCTTTTTATGCTTCAAACTATGCTCTATCAAATTAATCTATATATTTAAATGTTTAGCAAACAGATTAATTATTGTAGAAAATCCCATCCTAGAATTTAATAATGATTATTAAAGATTTTAGATTAACAGATCTTTATTGCTATAATTATCTAACTACTTCTAAGATTACAGCTATAATAGTCAGTAATAACTTTAATACTAATGCTTCACATAACAGAGATATAATTTTCTATTCAAATTAGAAAGTTTATAGTGTATCTCTGAATTGTATAAAGTATATGCTCTATTGTATTATATTTCGACTAATGGTTGATTATATATAAAGATCATTGGAAAATGGACAAACAAGCAAAGATAGACAATATCATGTGTAGTCAGTCTGCTTTATTATTGGCTACCCATACTTTGTAGCATTTTACATGATTAAGTTACACAAATTTCTATAGACTTTTTTTTTTTATATATATACATCTAACCTCTATTATTTTGCAGTTAGGCTATTTAATTTTTATTCTATTATATTAATATAGGGGTGAAGTATAAAGTTGCATATATTGCATGCTTAAAGTAATAATGTTCTTGGGTGGGTATAGCGAGATATTGTCTATCTTTGCTTGTTTGTTCATTTTCTAATAATCTTTGTATATACTCGACTATTGGTCGAAATGAACTGCACAAGCTTTGATAGACAATATCACATATAGCTGTGGAGTAATTATATCCTCTTTGCTTGATCTAAAATCTTAGTTGGTAGGTGGCTTTTCATTAATGTCTTTTTCATGCCTCTCTGATAAAATCTTTTATATACTTCATTAGATGACCAATTTCTGAATATGAGTAATGTATCCACACTGGCACTTGCATCATATGCAAAATTTGCTGATATTGCTCTAATGTCTTTAGCTTTCGCGTCAGGCTCAGCAAATATTAGTATATTTTTAAGCCAACCAGAAATAGTATCCACAGATGCTGGTGGGTGAGCTGCAGTTGTTGACAAGAATAATACATCTTTGTTTGACTCATTGTTTCTCTAGTCCTTTGTGTAGCTGATATATTCAGGTTTTAATATCTAATCATAGTGGTCTAATACTTTTCTCGATGCTAAGTCTGCTAGTATATTTTGTTTGCCTGGTATGTGTTGTGCTATCAATCTGATGTTCCGTGTTATGCATAATTTCCAAATTTTTTCTGCCAATAGACTCAGATTTGTTAAGATCATGCTCTCTTGGTGGTTCAGGTAGGCTATGCAGGTTATATTGTCTGATTTCACTATTACTGTCTTTGTCTTTTAAGTCTTTTAGTGTTAGGAAGGCATAGTGTATCACTATTATTTCTAAGATGTTTATATGTAGCTTGTTTTGTTCATGGTCCCAATAAGCTATATATTGTGCACTGCTCCTTATCCCATTTTGAATATGTCTGTATAAAGAACTATAGTTTGAATGTCTAGGATTAGGCTCATGCTGTTCCATCTTGTTAGAATCTGTGACTACCATATCAGTTGTTGGCGGCTTTCTAAGGACAGGGTTAGTATGTAATTCTATTCCTTGTTTTTTAATACTTTGTTTTTGTCTCTTATCAAGACTCTCGTCATAAGTCTTGCTAGGAGTATGGCACCAATACTGGCTAAAGTTTTCCTATAATCGATGCTAATTTTCTTATATATATTATAGGTTTGTTCACTATGGACCTGCATTCCTTATAATGTCCGTTATCTTTGCTTTTGGTAAAGCCATAGTCATTGTGTTTAAATTTATTGAGAATCCCAAATATTGTATTTCCTTTGATGGTGTGAGATTCGATTTTTTGTAGTTAATGATGAAGCCATGCTTGGTTAAAACTTGTAGCACTTCATTGGTGTGTTGTATTGCTTTCTTTTTCGATGATGAACAGATCAGAAGATTATTGATATAGGCTATTACTCTGATTCTTCTTGTTCTCATTGATGCGATTAGAGGTTTTAGTATTTTGGTGAATACTCTGGGACTGCTGGTCAATCCAAAGAGTAAACATATGTCCTGGTATCTCTGTTGTGTGAAATCAAACATAAAGTAAGATTGTGCCTGCTGTGACAGTAGTACATACAAGTAAGCATCTGTAATGTCTATGGAGGTAAAGTAGTTGTTCCTTTTTATAATATTTTTTACATGTTCTATTGTCTCTATTTTGAAATAAATAAAGCGAATATAAGTGTTGAGTTGCTTTAGATCTATAACTATCTTTGCTTGACCAGATTTTTTGAAATAACAAATATTCGGAATAGAAAACAAGGAGCTTGTATTGGTACTTTGATGATTGCTTCTTTGTTCAGCAATGTGTCTATTTCTTGTTTGATAATAAATTTTTGGTCTTCATTTAAGATAGTATCTTGGGATATTGGTTGTATTTTTAGCAGAGGTAGTGTGTACCATTCTGGTATATATCCCTGTGTCAAAATTATAGTTGTCTAAGAAGGGACTATAGACTGATTCTATTGCTCTTTGTAAAACACTAACCTTCTAGCTATACAAAAATCTTTCTCTTGATAACTTATTGATCTTCTTGAGTCTGGTAAGTCAGCTGTGATGGCTGGCTGCCTCTCTGTACATTTCTCTGTCTGTTGAAATTTTTATTGTAGAACCAGTAGTTTCCACATCTACCACGGGCTGAAATGGAATTGAAGCAAGAATGAATTGTCCTTGTGTTGTTACTAGTATTGCCTCTAGAAAAGGAAGCACAGTTCTTGTATCTAAAAGCCTGTTAAATAAATTTATTGGTGGCATTCTCATTCTCAATAATCATTTTAAAGTCTTGTTCAAATACTTTCTCATTTGCATTAGGTGTGTTGTATTCAGGTGATATGCTTTTAATGGCATTGTCTCTTCGAGCCTTATTAATATAAGATAAAGAGTCCAGTAATAATGCTTTAGCATTTTTGAGTGAGTTTTCAATAGCTTCTCATGCGTAAATAGCTTCGGTCTCTTTGTCAGAAGGCTTAGATCTGTATACAGATTTGAGTATATTCTCAATTGGTCATAGCACTGCTGATGTTCTGTATAATACCTTTGATAAGGTTTTGTCAGTTTCTTTCGTGTGTAAAAAAAGTAGCTTCCACATTTGTTTATCCATAGTAGGTGAGTTATATTTAATTCATACATTGCATGGTTCATTTCTAAGAATTGTGGATCTTTCATCCTTTGAAAGTAACTTTTTCTTATGAATGTTAGTTGGAAGATATGCTATTTTGCCATAGGGAGTCCATGCTGTATGTGGGTCTAGGTCATTAGTTTCAGAATCATAGTCAATGATACTTGCACCGAACACATTGAAGTCATCATCATCATCATGTGTGAAATTGAGATTTTTATTAGTATCTACATTTGTATTGTTTTAAAATATTTCTTGAATGTCAGATTGTTCAGTTGTCATAGTGAGGCAGCTATTGAAATATGAACTGCAGCCAAAATAAAATGGTCTAACTGCAAAATAATAGAGGTTAGATGTATATATATAAAAAAAAAAAAGTCCATAGAAATTTATGTAACTTAATCATGTAAAATACTACAAAGTATGGGCAGCCAATAATAAAGCAGGTTGACTACATGTGATATTGTTTATCGAAGCTTGGCAGTTCATTTTCCTTTTTTCTAGAGGTAAAAATGGCTAGCATCTAGGAATTCTGATTCATGATGATATACTAATATTTTTTTTTTAAGTCAAAATCAGGAAATAGAAGTAAATATAATGCAACCAACCAGAAATATATTACTATGATGCAATATTATTCTTATTAGCTTCAAATAGACAGACCAAATAACAGATTAAATTTTCACCTTTTTGAATACCTTTTTTAACAATATATAGTTTATGTATATACAAGTATAGAGCAATATTGACTTAATTATCTAAGGTTTAATTAAAAAATTCAGATTGAGCTTTATAATAGTCTGCAAGATGCTATAACTATACAGAATAAAATACCTCAAAATTTATTAGCAACTAACACAAGTAAGCAAATTATTCTTCCATCTAGCTTTACAAATAGACCTTGACAAATACATCAAAGAGGAATGATTTTTATATATCAGTTTCATGTAATATCATGTACATCAATTTTTTTTGACTAATAAAATCAAATAAAATTATCAGAATCTAAAAAACAAAAAAAATAATAAGATTTTATTTGTCAAAAAAATTTGATGTATATGAGGTTACATGAAACTGATATACAAAAATCATTTCTCATACATCAAAATATCAAGATGCAATATTAATTGTTTGAATATTGGATAAGCCTGATCTCTTTATTATATTTATATATAAACTATATGACCAGAAATCACTGCTAAGCTTTTCTATAATTAAACTGCAGTAGATTGATCTGATTTAATAATCTATATTTTTTTATATGAAATTAAAAGCTTTACTAGATGATATTATTAAAAATAATATTTTTAGCAAAGTTGTTACTCATATTTATATTATTGAATTTCAAAAATATGGTCTCTCACATTCATATATACTAATAATTCTTGATTCAGATTACAAGCCAAAGACAGTTAAAGATTATGATAGTATTGTATTAGCTAAAATTTCTAACAAAGATATCTATCTTGCAGCTTATGAAACTATTTCACAAATAATAATGCATAGTCTGTATGGTTTTGCTTTTCCAAATTTTCATATATGAAAGATGAAAAATATTTTAAAAAATATTCCTAAAGCTTCATAAATTTATATCTCAAAATAAAGATAGTTATCCTATATATAGTTAATCTAATAATAGACAAACTGTAAAAGTTAAAAGTACTCATATAAATAATCGATAGGTAGTATCTCATAATCTCTACTTTACTACTAAGTATAATATGTATATCAATATGGAAGTGTGCTCTTCTATAGTAGCTGTTAAGTATCTTTTTAGATATATTTATAAAAGTTATGACAAAGTAATATTAAATATTGGAAGACCATATGAAGTAGAATGAAATAGAGAAATAGAGCAAACTCGCAACAATGAAATTTGTTAATATATAAATACATCATATTTTAGTTTCTGAGACTATTATTATTTCATTATAAGCTATATGATGAAAAATCTAATATTATTAGACTTTAGATTCATCTTGAAGGGAAGCATATTGTATCTTATCATGATAAAGATACTTTAGATAACATTATAATGTATAGATTAACTACAAAAACAACTTTACTTGCATAGTTTGAAGCAAATCAAAGTATTCTGAGACACGTAAACTAACTTATAGCGATTGTTTTATATATTAGGTTTATGATGAAAACAGTAAAAAATAGAAACCAAGACAAAAAGACAATACTATTGGTCAAATTTATTTTGTTTATTTAATAGCAGGAGAGCATTACTATCTATATTTATTACTGAGTCTGTATACAGAGCAACATCTTTTAAAAATATTTGAACTATTAATAAAGTTCTGTATGATATATTTAAAGAGGCCTGTAATACTTTAGATTTATTTCAGAATGATTAAGAATAGAACAAATATTTGAAAGAAGCCAAACAAATATAATTGAGTATACAATTATATTATTTGTTTGCTACTATTCTTCTTTTTTGTTATCTATTACAACCTGAGATACTTTGAAAAAAACATATATCAGTCTTTTGTAATGATATATTATTTTGTGCTAATCAAGAATTAGATAATTGTTTTGCTTTTACAGTTCATGATACTAATATATGTAATAGCATATTACAACTAGGATTGTTGATACAGATATAATGTTAATAGTACACCACTAGTATACTAACAGATTTTTTGGT